AGCTCCTAATAAACAGCTGGGTCTCTTGCCTACACCAGGATAGGAAGTTACTAACAAACACTCAAGCCCCAGTTGACTTTTCAGATTAGATCTCCTTGGGAACCAAAGGAAAGACCCCAAGAGCCTGTGCCATCATTCCAAAATTCCCCGCTCTTAGAACCTGGGGAGGAATGTGTTTTAATCTATCACATTTTAGGTCAGTTTGCCATGTTCAGTGGATGCCTACCACAATAGCTGCAGTCGCAGAGTGGATAAAAAAGTGGATAAGAAACATAGATCAATGTGCAGCGTCTTTATTATACTCCCGTGTGATCGTAGTGCAGCTAAGGACTACCCTGGGCATCTGCAGGTGTCATCTAAACAACAGGTAGCTTGGCATCTTTTGTTTTCCTTTCAGCCATATAGATTTTTCACTTTTCAAGTCTGTCTGACTAAATCCATTGACAGGCCTCTTTTGACAGCTTGTTAATGCACCACAGCACATCCCTGGTTTCCACAGTAACCTGGCGCAATGACATCAGTTAAGCTCACCAGAGCCAGCCCCACTTTGATCCGTGGTACCCTTCTTAGCAATGATAGGCTTCAAAGAAATCCCTTAAGACTGAATGTAGCTAATGTGCCATGTGTCCATATTCTATCTGTTGTTGGTTTAATTTTACTCTTCATAAACAAATGACTAACTCCAGATGATGATTATAGCTTATGAAGCAGGAGGTGGGTCTGGTTTACACAATCAGAGAGAAGTCTCAACCCTCCACTCTGTAGAGACAGACTTCTCTGATTCCATGGATGGAACAGTTAGGCTTCAACGTTGTCAAAAGGTGACCATTTTAAAGACAAGGTAGATGAGTTGGCAATGTGTTCAGCTTTGGGGAACAAAAATCTGAACAGTGGCTGCAAGCAGGTAAGGCTCTGGAGTTCCATGAACAGAAGTGCAGATGGGGCTATGCATGCTGGTGCGACGTCTCCAGAATGCCAGCAGCAGGCCCAGCTCAGGGTCTCTGCCTGCTCCACCATCCCTCTCCCGTGGCATTGGCCTCACAGTTACAAGATAGCTGTCTACTCATCAGCTATCACGCCCAACTCCAGGCAGGAAAGAGGGCAAACAGTTTAATCTTCTTGAGATTTTGGGGTTTTTTTTTCTCCTTGAAAGGCTTCCCAAGGAATTTATGTGAATTTCATTGGTTAGAACTAGTGCCCATGGCCACCTCTAACCATCAGAGAGATTAAAAATGCAAATATTTAACCTTGCAGCCTGAATCTCCATCTTCAAGGAAAATTGCTTCATATGGATATGGTGTGATCTAATCCTTAATATTTTTGAGACATTAGTTTATTATGTAGTCCAGGCTGTGTTTGGATTTATGAAATTTGTGAACCTCATAACTTTCAGAGTGCTAGGACTGCATCCATGACTAAACATACCTTACAATCATTAATATTTTAATAGTTACAATACAAGGGAGTAGGTACATGCATATATCCATACATTCACATGCACATGTAATTTTAATTAATTGATCAACCTAGAGATATTTCTTATCCTGTAAAGCAGCTCAGGGGAAAAAATATTTGGTTCAGCCCCGAGTAGGGGGTGCCTGACAGTGTTTAATATCAGCAGCAATGAAGGTAATAAATGTTATCCCTTGTTTCTATCATGAATATGAATGACGCTCTGAAGGCTGAATGTAACCTAAAAATTTACGTGAGAAATGAGGCATGCAACATTTTTGAAAATATATTAGCCCAAAGTCTGCATTACTGCATATTTTATGCCCTTTTCAATATGCTACAAAAGATTTGAGCCATCAACCGACTGCTGCCAGAGAAGAACAAACACGAGCTGGGATACAAAATAAATGCTGAGAGCCAAGTCCCTCCAACGAGTTCTTTATGGTCGGTGTAATGATCACAGAGCTGAGCAGACTGCTTTGCTTCAAACTCTCAACATCAGCACTTCCGAAAATCCAGCTCTCCAGCAAACATGTCCCAAGCCAAGAGCACACACATCCTCATTGGGCAGCAGGTGCTAGAGCAAGCACTCAAGAGCATCTCCTGCACGTGCTGCCCAGTTCTTCGTAACGTCTTCCATCCTGAGACCTCCTGTCATTTGGGGGACCTGAAGCAAACATCCTGAGAATTCTCTGTTTGAGAAACTGGTTTATATTTAAATCTCTTATGATGGACCATGCCTGTAATCCTATCACTTGGGAGGCTGTCACAAGAGGATTGTTGTGAATTTTGAGGCCAGCCTACACATAGCAAGTTCCAGACTAGCCAATGCTGCATAGTAAGATCCTGCATCAATGTGTGTATATGTGTGTGTGTCTGTCTGTATTTTTGTATGTACGTATCTAACACTTTATGATCTTTGCCTCATGTTACTGATAGCAAAATGCTCATATGAATATATATATGCACTGCTAATAGTGTTCATCTTCTACTTTTAAGTAGTTTGTAGTTTTTTCTTTTCTCTTTCCTTCCTTCCTTCCTCCTTCCCTTTCTCTCTCTCTCTCTCTCTCTCTCTCTCTCTCTCTCTCTCTCTCTCTCTCTCTCTCTCTCTCTCTCTCTCTCTCTCTTTGATAATAGGTCCCATGTAGTCCAAGATATGACTTTGAATTCCTGATTCTTCTGCCTCTACTCCCCAAGTGAAGGATGTGTATAATTTTCATGATGATGAAAACAATCAATTTCACTTTATCCAGGAGACAATGTTATCTTCTGAGATCAAACCTGAGCAAGTTCAGACTAGATCAGTGAAAACATACAGGGCAGCATGTCTATGTACAAGTGCCAGAAACTGTCCCAGTCCCAAAAAATTTCATGGTGTAGCTCCGGAACATCATCTAGAGATTCACAGAGAACTCACTTCCTAGGCTGAGGCTATGACAATGAAGCTGTCAAGGGTCTGTCTCCATGTTCTTCGTCTTCATAATGTCTCCCCTGGAGTCTGATGCCGAGGATGCCTGGGCAGGCTCTGTCTGCAGAGACACTGATAGGACCTAGGGTCAGTGCTGCTCCCCCCAATTTATGCCAGTGACAGGAGCATCCTCATTCATACCAGATTTGTTTCCCAGCTAAAAACGGATCCTCTTCCTCCATCTTTGTCTTCAGTGGCAAGGAGTTAATAAATCAATAGTTTATATAATACCCTTTGTTAAGCCAGAATATTCTATCATAGAGATTAATATTTCATACTTAAGGCCAACTGAATATCTATTGCAAGTAAGAACAGAATTATTAAAGATAGACAAGTTTCCAGCTGGGCAGTTGTGGCGCATACCTTTAATCCCAGCACTCGGGAGGCAGAGGCAGGGGGATCTCTGTGAGTTCAAGGCCAGCCTGGTCTACAAAGCGAGTTCCAGGAAAGGAGCAAAGCTACACAGAGAAACCCTGTCTCCAAAAACCAAAAAAAAAAAAAAAAAAAAAAGATACACAAGTTTCCAAATGAGTACTTCCGGATGAGATGGGGCCTGCTTATGTGTTGCTGGAGAGGAATCCTTCGAGTCATCTTTAGCAATGAACTACATGGCAGAAATGGAAGATCACAGTTCCACAGCACCACATCTTAGCTAACGGAAGCCCCCAGAGACACTGGTTGGAGAACGAAGCTTTACTGCTCAGCAGTCTCTTCTAGGAACTTCCTATACTGTTTTGTCCTTTCTAACAGACAGTGCTAAAATCCAAAAGAAAGATCTCTCTTGGCTCACGCAGCACATCTGGGGCACACAGCTCTTCCTGTAAGGCAGCCATTATTTCTTTCTGACGGCTGGACAGTGTTTCACGTAACACTATATCAGAATCTTCATCTGAAATTAGGAAGGCGATCTACCGACTGGGCTTCTGCAAGTGTCATCATGGAGCACCAACAGCAGAGTGGGGGGAGAAGCAGAGGAGGGGGAAAGAGAAGAAATGACAACAACTATATTTTTCCCAAGCGTCAAGGAAACGCCAGCCATGGAGCTAAGTGCTTTGGTGAAGCATCCCACTTCATCTTTGTGACAGCCCTGGGATGCAGGGTCCTTTATGGACCATTTTACAGTGATGAAAACCGAGGCAGAAAGCATCCAATAAATTACCCAAAGTCACATAGGGGTTTCGGAGCCACACTAAGACGCAGAGAATGCTTGGATTTTAGCAGTCTCAGCCGGACACTTTGGGGTGAAGCCACCAGAAGACGGGTGCTCCGAGAATGTGTTGGCAAGCCTCAGAGTATAATCCACTCAGCCCAGCAGAATCAGAACAACGAGCTGAAGCTTTAGCTGACCGAAAGCTGTGCTCCACTGTCTAGTTCAATGGAGGGCTTCTAATTGCCTAAGAAATAAGATTGGCTTCAGGAAAGAGGGCTTTCATTCCTCACCAAATCAGCCCTTCACCACTCCCACGCCATATATCCCTGCCTATTGATCGATCTACAGCACCAACCCAGGCCAGTTCTAAATTTTTTTAATAAAACTATCACAGTGATTAAAAAGGGGTCCACGGCTGTCAGAAAAAATATCAAAAAATCATCCTGATGTCTGAGTTAACCCTACTGATGCATAGACTCATAGACTTTTTCTAGTTATAGAATGAATAGCAATTACTTGGCTGTTAACTAATACTGTTATTAGGGGAACTCAACATTTAGACACCCTTAATTGCTTGAATTCTTATGTTAATCAAAGCAATTTTCAAAGGGCTAAATCAGAAGTCACAGCGGATGTGTTTATGTCAGATGTGAACACAAAGAGGCATGTGTCCCATACTGGAGGATGCCAAAGAGCTCGAAGCAGTTAAAGCAGGTCTCATCAGAAACACCCCCCAGTGTTAATTCATCAGGCCCAGAGTTACTTGGCAAAAGGTTGCTGGGCACGGTGCTTTCAGGTTTATTATCTCAAGGTAACATTTGATTTCCTTTTTCATTTATATCCCAATTCCCAGGGACATGAACTTAGCAATTAAAAAAGAAAAGGTTAGAAAAAAAAAAGAACGTCAAAATACAAAACAGCTCCCCAGCTAAGTACTGCGCACTATACTCACCATATTGTGGAGCTCAATAATAAAATGATAATAAAATGGTTTTCACAAACTATGTGAATATCAATGATTCTCATTACTTACCTGATGTGAAGACCCTTGTGATTCCTTTCCTTGAACAATATCTATATTTTTCTTCAAAAGAAAACCATCTTCATTTATTAGAGCTATGAAAAGAGATAAAATTACATATGAAGTATCAAAACTTACAGTTTGAAAGTGACTGTAGTTCAGTGACAGAGTGCTGCTTGGCATATGAGAGGCCCTGGACTTGAACCTCAGCACTATAAAGAGCAAAAGCAAGAAAAAAATTCCAAATTTAAGAAGTTTAAGTGTAATTTAATAATGAGTTTTTATTTAAGCAATTAAGGCACTACATTGTCTTGGTCTTGGTTTTTTTTTCTTTTTTGTTAAATAAAGATGAACTACTTTTTATAAGAAACAGATCAAAACAATGCATCAATTTAACAAATCAAAACTAAAAATTCTCACTGCTCATCTGGGTGCTTAAGAAAGCTGTGGAACTTTACTGGGACTCAATTTCTCTTTCTCTACAAAAGCTATTTCTGGTTCCAAGACACTGTGGTTCCAGGCACTAACCGCCTCACCTGCTTCTGTTAAAACAAGTTTTCTTCTACTGGCATTTTGAGCTTCATTAACCTGGGTCTTCTAAACATGAATTATTTATGTCAAAATTGTTCTGTACATGCTTTAGTAAAAGCTTTGGATTTGTGCATCCATGTGCTTGCAGCTAAATGAAACCGTTTCAAAAGTAATAGCAAGTCCTTCCAGCTTCTCTAAAAGGGGCTTCATTTATTTAAATCTGAAATCCCAAACATGCCATATGTTAAAAGAGGAAAAGATGCCATGGGTCACTTAATCTGAGATGAGAGTACTGGAACCAGCCACCAGGCTAGTGACTTTTCCTTCACCTTGACTCCTTTTTACATTCTCCACTCTTCTTACATTCAAGTCCTATCATCCATGCTCACAGATTGTCTCCAACTCTGGGCAACTCTGGCTATGGTCAAAAAGATACAGAAAACTCACAGCAGAGTACCAGACTCATTTGAACCAACAACAGGATTTAAATCAAAGTGACCATGGTACAGAATTCTGATAAGTTCTTGTATTGTACAAGGATTTAGTTTGGTGATCTGATTCTTTGAAGAAAGATCTTCCAACACAGGTTCAGCATGCTATATGTTAAAGTTTACATACAACTAATGGCATTTTCTAATCCTAGAAAAATTTCTTTTTATTTTCATTAATCTTGTGTTGGTCTTCTGTGTTTTAATATCTTTAACATGAACTTTGAACAGGTCCTTCTAGAGGAATTTTTATGGGTGGAGTGGCCGGCTGCACTTTCAGATCTGGAATCTAGCTAGTGGAGTAAGATATGACTAACTACAATATGCTTGTGTATCAACACAAGGTAACAATGACTAATTCAGGCTTGGCACTGTGGGTGGTTCTTGTTGGAGGTAGGGTCACAAAGGATTGAAAAATGGATGCTCTTCAAGATAAAGGACAAAAGATAGACATTACACATACAACAATAAATGAGGAGAACACTGATTTATAGTGCAGAATGAATGGAGCTAGACCAAGTTTGAGACTGAGATTGTTGTCTCCGTGCTATTCTAGATATAATGTAAGAGAATATACGGCTCCTAATTGTGGCCAACTATTACTGAGCCTTGAGAATCCAGTGCAAGAATTTGAACATGACATACTAGATTGGAGTTGCAAATATAAATATCTGCAAGTCGCAGACAAATATTATAGTAAATCAACTCAATTTAACCAAGAAGATGGTGGGAGGTGGGGAGCTATAGAGGGGAAGGAATGGGGGATGAGAACATGAGGAAACTGGATGGTCAAACTGGGGAAGGGATGGAGTGGGAGAGCAGTGAAAGAGATATCTTGATAGAGGGAGACATTGTGGGGTAAGGGAGAAACCTGGTGCTAGGGAAATTCCCAGAAGTCCACAAGGATGACCCCAGGTTAGACTGCTAGCAACAGTGGAGAGGATGCCTGAACTGGCCTACCCTGGTGATCCACAACCAAGCACCAGGCCGAGCTCCAGGAGTCCACTTGAAGAGAGGGAAGAGGAATTGTATGAGCAAGGCCGGTCAAGATCATGATGGGGACATTTACAGAGATAACTGAACCAAGCTCGTCGGAACAAACGAACTTCAGACTGACAGCTGTGGAACCTGCATGGGACCAGATTAGACCCTCTACATAAAGTTGTGTAGCTGGGTCTGTTTGAGGGGCCCATGGCAGTGTGATCAGGATCTATTCCTGGTGCATGAGCTGGCTTTCTGGATCCCGTTACCTATGGTCAGACACCTTGCTCACCCTTGAGGCAGAGGGGAGGGGCTTGGTCCTGCCTCAACTGGATGTACCAGGCTTTGCTGTCCCCCATGGGAAAACTTACCCTTTTAGAGGAGGGGTTAAGGGGTGGATCCAGGGGGAATTAGGCCAGGTTTGGGGGAGTGGAAGGAGGGATAAGAGGGGGATCTGTGGTTGGTATGTAAAATGAATAAAAAATTTAAATAAAAATAAATAAATAAATGTATTCTGTTAAAAAAAATTAAAAGACAGTGAATTTCCATAATGAGCCAGTGGACCAGCTCCTCAACCAGAGGGAAGCCGTGACCTTTGTCTCACTCATCTGGAATTTCCTGAGACTTTCCTGAGTTCAGGATTGTTCTCCTCATGTTTTACAAGAGATTGCTCTAGGTTTTAACATAATTTCATTTTACTTTAAAAATACTAAGGGATCTCAAACAAGGTTTTCTTCAGAATAAATTTTCCTGTACCAGTACTAGTTACCAAGATCTCTGCTATCAAAATGAGAGGCCTGTGAGAGTTCAGGCATAAGGTTGGGACATCGGCATAACTGCCTCTTAAAAATGATGAACCATCTTCGATGTCTGTTATGTATATTTTATCCATTTGTGACCTAAATATTACTCTATAGAGAAAACACTCATGAAGAATCGATAAGTGATGTGGATCTAAGTAGCACAAAAGAAAATAAGTGCATCAGGAAACATGTAGAGGGAAGCCCCCAAAGACGGCAACATTACCTCCTATATCATATTTTCTTCCCAAGTGTGAACTTTTCTCTCCTCCAACAGGAAATGGAGTGTAACTCAACTAATAGAGAATCTAGACAAATCATAGTGACTTATTACAGCAAATTGTCATGGAGAAAATGACATGTGACTTCCATGACTGACTGGGCACCGCCGTGCTCTCTAGGGATGCTCATTATTTCTAGTCATAGCCTCCTGTGGCAGTTGTATGTTGACCACACTTGGAAGCCAACCATTAGCAAGAGATGTTGCTAATAGAAAATAGCCCTTGCAGTGTAGTGTGCAGGCAGAGGCCAGTCTATCATGGACCATCTGCCAGACATAGAAATGAGAAAGCCTCTTTACCATTCTAGCCACCAGACTTAAATCCTTTCCAAGCATCAAATTCTGCCAAATAAAACTTCTGGCATCAGTCATAAAGAAACCTTTGACTGAATTCTTGACACTAACTGAATTTGATGAGCTTAATAAATCATTGTTCTATAACATTAAATACCAGCGTCATAGGTTCAGAGTACTAGATTATGAGAACATGTATGTATCACATGTAAATGTCTGTGTGTGTAAGAATGCACTGTTCTGCATTGAAACTGAGATTTATACTCTAAGAAAATCCGGGAAAGTGGACCTCTCTAGAGAAGAACATACTAATTGGCTGTCCAGTACCCAAAGGTCAGTCCTGAAAACACACATACGAGTAACATTGTACAGATTGAACAGATTATATTTAGAAATGTGTGTGTCTACATAAACAAATATCTATTCAATAACAATTAGTAGAAAAAGTGGTCATGATTTGAAGGCGAGTGGGAAGGGTGTTTTTAGATGGTTTAGAGGGAGGAAAGAGAAGGGAGAAATGTGATTATAGTATACTCTCAAAAATAAAAAAAAGCAAGTAAAACTGTGATTAACTTTTAAAATGTTAAATAGTCATATCAAATAAATTTTTGGAGAGATGAAGGTTTCAGACTGATAGCTTTCGAGTGGTAAATCAGATCTTGAAGACACTAAGAATTCCACCTTTCTCTCCACTAATTGTCTTTGATAACACATATTGCAAAATCATATGCAAATAAGGTTTAGTTCAAAACTAATTCTATAGTGATGTAGGTGGAATTAAAATTCCTTTCATTAAAAACCAGGCTTCTGGGTCTTATTTCTTATTATCTTGCTACCCTTACTAACATATGTCAATTCCTTTCAAATATAATTTGTGAAATAGTCTATCACAATCATATTGATGATATAAAACCTCTAAATCCCCCAAACTGTTTTATTTCATTTTTATTATTTTGTAAACACTGACTAGTATTTATGCTTTGTACTATAAAATGGGAAAATCTGGTTTTTGAAGCTATTTTATTCATACCATAATTTGATTTTAGATAAACCCCAATTCCTAGATTTCAAAGTTTATTTTCAGGATTTTATCCATAAAATAAAAGCCACAATAAATGTAAAGGTTTTCAAATTGACTTTGACTTACAAAAAATAAAAGTGAATACTATGAATAATTCCCCTGCTCATGAAGCTAAAAATATAGTTAAACTAAATTACCGATTAATTTAGATTGACACCTAACATATAATAATTTTTCAGTTGGAAGCCCTAAGCAATCAATTTCCTCATGTTTATTTTACAGATGTTGTCTTTTATTAGCACAGATGTAGGTTTAGATGAAATATTTCTCAGAAAAAGGAAGAGGGCCAAATAAACTAAAGAGCTGAACTTATTTTCATAATTTTTTTCAAATACAAATTACATCGATGTCACATACAGTCAAGTCATCAACAACTAAACTATCAGACACAAATCCTCAGCTAAGTACAGTTTATAAAAAAAAATTAACACTAGGGCCTGCAGAGGTGGTACAGCAGGGAAGGACTCTGGTTACTCTTAGGAATGGGGTTTGATTCCCAGCACAAATATGGAAGCTCACACCCATCTGTAACTCTGGGTCCAAGGGATTGGATGCCCTCTTCTGTCCTCCACAGGTACCAAGAGTGCACATGGCATGCAGGCTACAAGCATACACGCAGGAAAAGCACCTATACACATAAACTTAAATTTAAAATGTTTAACATTAGGCAACAATGATCTTTAAGATTAATATGCTACTGATGTTATATATGCATCACAAAGAAACACTGTTTTGGAACTGAAATTGAAGCAAACGATTTTGGGTTGTTGTTTTGGTCTTAGAGCTGCTAAGAGATTCTGAAAGTATTAATACCCCTCTCTAAACATCTCTATATATTTCCCCCTGCTTTGCAATAGCTGTCTTTACAATTCCTTCTTAGTGTACTACAAAAGCAGGCACTGTTGATGACAGCCACCATGCACTTCCCATTTGCATCTCACCACACTATCACAGCCTGCCTATCCTCAGGCACAGTAAACCACTCTTAAGTAATTATGCAATTAACAGCTTAAAAGTAGTGTTTAAAATGAGAAAGAAATATTACGGGTTGATAGGGAGGGCACTAATTGCTTAGAAATACTCTGAGTCTTCCAAATGAAGTTAGTACACCCGTAAAATTTGTGCCTGCAGCTTGTGGCCCTCCTCCCTTGCTCAATCTCTCTTTTCAATTTATAATGGCACCAACAGCCTTGGTTTCAGGCCATCAACTCTTCCAAGCATTAATCCCTAGGTAATGTCCTGTGACTCAGCTGCTTCTGTTCGAAACGTCTGCAGAACTTCCTAGACACACACACACACACACACACACACACACACACACACACAGAGAGAGAGAGAGAGAGAGAGAGAGAGAGAGAGAGAGAGAGAGAGAGAGAGAGAGAGAGAGAGAGAGAGATGAGGGAGAGAGAAAGACAGAGACAGAGAGTCCTGTAAGAACCTGGTACTTATCGAAGCTAGGAAGAGTATGTAAAAGTTTGTTTTTGAAAAGGCAAAGACTGCTGATGAGAAGCCCCTCACCTATGGCAAGAACCTTTTCTACTTTGCTATTGTAGCTCTAACTAAGAGATTTGCCTCTTAGCCTTAACTTACAAAATGTAAACAGCATTTCACAGTTGTAGAAATTAGAATGCCTGAATGATAAAGATTTTATGTATGACAAAGTTTTAAACTAAAAATAATCACAACCAGGCTCTGGATTCCTTTTCCATAGATCAGTTTAAAGTGATCTAAAGTATAACACATACTTACTAACATGAATGTTGACTGGACAGATAAGCAAAATGGCAGGGAGACAGAAGAGAGACCATTTGCTCAGTTATGGATTGGTGTCACTGGTGTCTGTGTAGTGAGACAAAGTCCTATCAAAGGTGATGACATAAATATTCTCTTCAATGTAATGAAAGGAAAATATTTCAAATAATCCAGAAATATTTCATTTATTTATTTATTTATTGCATTAAAAATTTTAAATATTAAAAACAATTAAACCTCATGGTATTTATATAAAAACATTCATCAATGGAATCAAATTGAAGACACAGATATAAATCCACACATGTATGGACATCTGACTTTTGATAATGAATCCAGAAGTACACATGGGAAAACACAAAGCATCTACAACAAATGGTCTAACTGGATGTCAGTATGTAGAAGAATGCAAATAGTTCCAATCTATCAACTAGCACAAAACTCAAGTCTAAGAGGATCAAAGACCTCAACATAAAACCAGATACACTGAACCTGATAGAAGAGAAAATGGGGAATACCCTTGAATGCATTGGCACAGAAGACAACTTCCTGAATAGAACACCAATAGCACTGAGATTAACAATTAATAAATGGGACCTCATGAAACTGAAAAGCTTTTGTAAGGCAAAGAACATCATCAATATAAAACAGCAGCCTACAGAATGGGAAAAAAGTTTCACCAACTCCACATCTGACAGAGGGCTAATTTCCAAAATATTTGAAGAATTAAAAAAAATAGACATCAACAAACTAAATACTCCAATTAAAAATGGGGCACGAATCTAAACAGAATTCTCAACAGAGGAACCCCAAGTGGGCAAGAAACTGTTAAAGAATTGTTCAAACATCCTTAGCCATCAGGGAAATGCAAATCCAAATGACTCTGAGATACCATCTTACACCTCTCAGAATGGCTAAGATTAAAAATAAATGAGAGCTCAGGCTGTGAATGGTGTGGAGCAAGGGGAACACTCCTCCATAGCTGGTAGGAGTAAAAACTTGTACAGCCACTTTGGAAACAATATGGTGGTTTCTCAGAAAATTGGGAATCAATCTACCTCAGGACTCAACTATATATACCATTCCTGGGCATAAACTCAAAGGTCATTCCATCCTGTTACAAGGACACTTGCTCAACTGTGTTCACAGCAACTTTATTCATAATAGCCAGAAACTGGAAACAATGTAGATGTCCCTCAACTGAAAAATGGGTAAACAAAATGTAGTACACATTTACACAATGGAGGATTTATTACTCAGCTGTTAAAAATAGTGGCATCATGAAATTTTCAGGCAAATGGATGGAACTAGGAAAAAAGTCATCCTGAGTGAGGTAACCCAGACCCAGAAAGACAAACGTGGTATGTACTCGCTTATAAGTGAATATTAACTGTAAAGTAAAAGGTAATCATGCTGTCCACAGACCCAGAGAGGCTAAGTAACAAGGAGGGTTTAAATATGTGTGTGTAGAATGGATCTTTGGATCTTGCTGGGAAGGAGAAATAGATTTCACAGTGGATTAGGGGTAGATGAGGTTGGGAACAGGAGGGATCAGGTTGGGGGAGGGAGAAAACACTGGAAGAAACTACTGGATTTTGGGGGCAATTGGAGGATAAGGTAGAAACCTAGCGCAATGGAAACTCCATGGAATCTACAAGAGTAACCCTAGCAAAGATTCCTAATGGGGGACATGGAGCCTGACCAGGCCATCTTCTGTGACTAGGTAAGGCCTCAGCTAGATGAACTGGTACATCAACTCAGTCTCAAAACCATCGACCTACAGTGTTCTGGGACCAGAGCCTAGCAGAGTCCTCATCAGAGACCAGAGAGACTTCACCCAGCCATCTAGCAACTGACGGGAGCAAACACAGAGTCCCGCAGACAAACATCAGTGGAGCACAGGAGTCCTGCAGAGCGGGGAGGAAGGATCTGAGGAACCAGAGGGGTCAGGAACACGACAAGAATACGGCCCACAGAATCAACTGACTGTGACTCACAGGGACTCACAGAGATCAGGGACCTCGTAGGAATCTAGCCTAGGTCCTCTGCATATGTGTTACAGCTGAGCAGCTTGGTGTTCTTGTGAAATTCCTAAGAGTGGGAGTAGGGGGTGTCTCTGACTCTTTTCCCTGCTTGTGGGACCCTTCTCCTATTGGGTTGCCTCGACAAGCCTTTATGTGATAGCATGTGCCTGGTCTTATTATAGCTTCTTATGCTGTTTGATCCATGTCCCTGAGAGGCCTGTTCTTTTCATAGGAGACTAAGGGGGTTGGATCTGGGCAAAAGGGGAGGTCCAGGAGAGAGACTGGAGAGATAAGAGGCAGGGGAGCCGGGGGTCTGGAAGTAATGTATGAGAGAAAAATAAAAATAAAAAAAGAGAGAAATGCAAAAATAAATAAATGCAATCATTCATTAAAAAATTATCTAATCTTGAATAAAGTTGCACTACTTAGAATGACAGTTATTACTTTTGTAAACAATTTCATTTTAAATTTTAAGAAACCTACCAAAATGTACAATGGAATTATTAAGCACCTACTTGCAAAATATATTAAATTCCTTTTGTCATAAAGTATTAGAAAAATTTTAACCAACCATCATCAGAAAATTTTAACTTGTCAATAGCAATACCACTCTTTCTTTTTTGTTCCAGTAACTCTGAGAGGTAGGGTACAAAGCAGACCTAATTCCACAATATCATTGTTTACCTTTATGAACTATTAAGGCTTTCTGTTTCAGTCATTATCTCCCCAAATTCAGCAATTGTAACTATGAACTCACTTGATATTAATAAATTCATCTGTACATGAGTACTAATTCACTGTTACTGGAAATTTTAAAACTAAAAATTGAAGTAATTTTTATTGGTATTTCCCTACTTCTACTGAGTTACTATAGAAAACCTAACTGTAATAAAGTAAAAATATTGTTATCTTTCTAGATTTGTCCTTTTTATGCAGACTTTAAAATATTTTTAAATTATTGGTGTATTAAAGACTTTCACATGTTGTTTAAAATCAAATCTTTGCCTTTTCCTTCACCTCTCAACTTGGTAGAGTTTTATTTCCTTTTTACATATGTATCTACATATTTTTGGTATATATACATGCATGGCTAGACATACATGTTAATAATTCATTAATATTTATTCTATCTTACCACATTTGCTTTTACTTTTTACTAGACCGAAATATCGTGCTTATGTTAATAGTAAAACATGTACATTTTCCTTAACTGCCCTTAAAACTACTTTGAGAAAAGACAAAGTCATCTTGGCTAAAGTTTGCAGTTACCTGTCAGCTCGCAGGGCCTCCTGAGGTGGAAAGCATGCACAGGCTTGCTTGGTTCCTTCCAGGTGGTGTCACTCACAGCTGTCCCTTCTAAAGTAAGACAGAGGATTGGATTGCAGCATTCACCGGTAATAACTGGCAAGTATGTAAGGATTTTCTAATCAAACAATTCGAGCACACAGTTGTAACTTGGTAGTCATTAGCCTCTTGCAGAGGATTCTAGCCACAACCAACCACTGCAGGCTGCTCATTTATGTACATAAACTCCTAAGTACTCCCACAGATGTGGTAAAACAATGTTGCTCGGGGGCTTCCTGGTAGCTTATGATTCTATTGGACTTTAGTGTTTTCTTAAATTTACTTACATTGCCGTGCCTAAGTTACAGTAACTCCACTTTCAATATGCCCCATCATTTTGACAAAACAATTAAGCATGTCGAGAGAATATGAACTTAGGCAGTTTCATGACCAATCAGATCCTTGGCTAGAAAGATTTGCTCAGTTGTGTCCTCTGTATATTGAAGTAAGCCTTGACATATGAAAAACTGTACCCAATGAAGGGGGAACATCCCTTCCAAGCCACTTATAAAGAATACCCGTTCTACAATCTGTGTCATATGTTGACATAAACAAATTGTAAATTGTGCAAGTAAAATGGAGCCCAGACACAATCTCAACATTCTGTGTTACGTTTAAAATCACTAGTGCTGTTGGACACTGACAAATGAGACAAGACATAGTCTGTAGATGCCACTGCTGGAAGAACACCAAATCTGATTAGAATGCAGATGTCCTTGGAAGATTGGGATCGTCACTTAGGTCAGTTGAACCTTCTAGATACTGTCGGAAGATTAGTTCTGAAAAGAGAGGGAAGGGAAATGAAGTCCAAACTCCTATGCTCTGCAGGGGAGAGGAAAGAAAGGGTACCCACGCAGTCATCCACTGCAGTAAAACAAAGAAATCCTTTTTCTTGTTGCTGAGGGTTAGGGTGGCAAGGTTTGTCTGTGTGTGTGTGTGTGTGTGTGTGTGTGTGTGTGTGTGTGTGTGTGTGTTATGCACATGTATCTATCATATACCTATATACACATACTGAGCCAGAGGAAGATCTGCTCTATCATGCTCCATTATATTCCCTTGAGACAGTGTCTCTCACCAAACCTGGAGCTAGGCCTGTAAGCAATAAGCCCCCGTGATTCTACTGTCTATGTAGCCTACAACTTTGGGGTTGGTCATGCCCAATTTTACCATGCATGCTAGATATTTGAAGGCATGTCCTCCTGCCTGCATACCAGGAGCTCTTAGCCACTGAGATGCCTCCCTCTGCACAAAATGAATTCCTGGCTGCATAATCCAGGTGGTTTGCTATTGAGAATGTATCAAAATTGTGCATGCCGTTAATCCCAGCACTCTGGAGACAGAGACAGGCAGATCTTGGTGAGTTTGAGGCCAGCCTGGTCTATAAAACTAGTTCCAGGACAGCCAGGGCTATTACACAGAGAAACTCTGTCTTGCAAAAAAAATTACTGTTCCAAGTATTCTGCTGCAAGAAGAGAGAGAGAGAGAGAGAGAGAGAGAGAGAGAGAGAGAGAGAGAGAGAGAGAGAGAGAAACTGGCCCATGACCTTTCTAAAAGATATGGATAGAACTTAATTTTTACTTTAGAATGAAAAGTCAAATCAAACCAATTACTCCCTGTCATCACTATGGATGTTACAGCAGTGGAAACTGAGCAGATTTGCTACATTAAAAACCATGAAAGAATTTTATTATATAAAACTATTCTGTTCCTTTTCCATTTATTCTTACAGTCATACATCTGAAAAGCTCTCTAACAGGTCACCTTGACCATGGACCAACCAAACTCAATGTGAAGAGCTGGGAGATAATTAGCTGATAAACCACCAACAAAAGTATTCTTTTTAAATGTAAAAAGAAACTGTTCCAAATAAAGCAATGATTTTTTTTTATTTTAGTTGTCTTATTTAAACAGAATCATATTTCCTTTTAATTTTTTTACAAGCTTCAAAGACAACCCAATTTCACTCTCATTGATCGTTTGTGACTTCGTGGACATGGGAACAAAAAAGAACAACTTTGGAGAAACTGAGTACAACGTTTCTTCAAATAACCTTAAGAATCACTAACCAAATGTTTTATCTTCAGATGGAAGCTTCTGGAATGACCTAGAAGAACAAAAGAAGTAGAAACTTAGGTCTAGATTTAGTAAGTTTTAATCCAACTGAAACTACAGCATGCCCTGTGCTTTTGAGAGCTAAAGTAAATTTTACCTCTCTTTGAGGTCAACTACGGTCCTGAACTCTTCTGACTTTAGTTTACAAATCATAGTTAATGCGAACATAGTCTTGGTCTGGAAATTTATATTTGTTATGATTAAACTAATATGAAACCTGAAAAGGAAAAGAGTTGAACTATTTCTACATACAAAAGAGCTAATAGAGGAAAAATATTTTCCCAGGTTTTCATCCCCAGGTATCTGAAGGAAGTTAGTTTCAAACATCTCCTCTAATGCTTTTTCCTCCACTACACACATTCACACACTCACACACTCACACACTCACACACATAAACACAAACATATACATACAGAGAGAGAGAGAGAGAGAGAGAGAGAGAGAGAGAGAGAGAGAGAGAGAGAGAGAGAGAGAGAGGAGAAACAGAGACAGACTGAAAGACTCAAATCCACCCCGGTCATATTTGCATATAATCTACACATACCCTCTCCTATTTTAAATCATTTCCAGACTATTTACAACACATTATAAATATTATGAAATTAGTTGTTTCAGTGTTTTATTTAGAGAATTATGACAGGAATGATGCTTCTGTATATTCACTACAAATACAATTAAAAAAAATACTCATTAAGTATACATATGGAAGTTTCCGTACAGAGTGGTGGCTAAAAGTCTGTAAAAGTGCAACAATACTGATACAAATCAGTATAACCATTATACTCTGTAGCAAAACAACAGCTATGGGATATGAGCAGCAGTTGCTGCTGAAGTGTTAGTTAGAAAGTTGATGGGTAACTTTGTGCTCCCTGGTACCATCAGAACTCCCTGAGCAATGTTACCAGGGCAAAAATAGAGACAAACAGACAGGAATTGTAATGCAATGCAAAAGGAAGTACTCAGTCACTGAAAACATACAGAAATATACACAGGGATGTGAGTGCATGTCTGTGTGTGTGTGAGAAAGACAGTGAGTGTGTGTGTGTGTGTGTGTGTGTGTGTGTGTGTGTGTGTGTGTGTGTGTGAAACTAGAATCTATCACATCTTGAAATTTAACTAAAATTTTAAAAAAAAATGGTGTACTAAAATATTACAAGGACTCAACCAGCAAAATTCAAAGACTTGGCATATAAAAATCAGTGTCTACAACAAATAAGTGGAGATAAATATATAAAGAGATATAGTGGCATTTAAATGAACCATAGTATTGTACCTACTTGGACTCTGATTAAACTGAGTCATTTCTGAAAAAGGTACTTGAACCTACTAGTGAACTTTTCACATTCACTCTATATGTAGTGATGTTTTGTGGTTTTTCTTGTTTGTGTTCTGGTGAAGCAGAGTTATTGTGATTACATTTTAAATAATAGTTCTTATTTTATAACTTCATATTGAAGCATGAAATTATATGTATGAATTCTGCTTTATAAAAATACCCAGTATGGATAGGAATCGGAGACTAAAATGAGTAGAGATAAAACAATATTGATGCTTGTTCAGGCTTGAAAATGCGATTTCATCTTTGTTATTTCTTCTGTGACAAAGGATAGTAATACAAAGATGTAGCAAGTAGATCGATTGACTTGTGTGGAAAAACATACATATCCTATGCACACCACCAACATGGTTGCAGCTTGTTTAGCACTGTTGATAATCCTTAAAGCTAACTTTATCCTTTTATGTAAATCCTGGGGTTAAAGCAAAACGAATTATACAAGTTTCTTTTCAAATGCTAGTACAATGGTGACATGGAGTTTGTGATTAACCGCCCAGTATCTGACTTGAGTTAAAGCCAGCTCCATGAGATGCGCTCCATATGCTACACTGTTAGATTACAAAAACCTGAGACTAGGTAGGCCAAGTATCTAGAGTAAAACCAAATCCTACTGTTCTACAGCAATAAAGTGACTCCTGGGAAATTCTGCTGTACAGAAGGATCAGTTCAGGGAACCCTGTGGAAGAGGAAATATAAAGGGTACAAGAGCAGAAGGGATGGAGGACACCAAGGTAACATGGCCTTCTAAACCAACAGGATCTAAGAACTCACACAGACTGATGCAGCATTCACAGCGCTACATGGATGTGTACCAGATGGAGTTCTAGAGTTTAACGGAGAAGTAGACACATGCCTCCATTACCAACCTAAAAGCTAATCTCCAATTGATAACCACTTGCAAATAAAAATTTACTTTTCTCCAAAGGAGTCTCAATGGGGAAAGAAACTACTTTCAATGGTAGGCTCATGCCCAGCAGCAGATGGCCAACAGCAAATGAACTCAAAGGCTTCTGTGGAGGTTCTTTACCTCATATGTCGTGATGGAGTGCTTAAAAATATTTTTATCTAGTTTTTAAATTATATATATATATATATATATATATATATATATATATATATATATAGTTTTTTTCTTACCCTACAGAACCTTTGCATATATATTATGGCTTCTAGTTTAGTGTCTTTATGGGATTCCTGAGTGCAAAAGAGTGGGTCTGTGCATCTGAATCTATTTCCCGTGCCTTCTCCCGGGCTCCTTCCTTCCTGTTTCTTTCTTTTGTCCAATTCTAATGTGTTAGTTGTTGTTTTATCTTATCATATTTTATTATCCCTTAGCAGCCTGTTTGTTTTCTCACGGGAATCAGAAAAGGGATGGATCCTGTTAAGAGGGAAGGGGAGGAAGGTCTGAGAGGAGCAGAGGAAAGGGACACTATAATCAGGATGTATAACGTAAGAAAAACATATTTTTTCAATAAAAGTAGAAAGGAATTTCTTTCACTTCCTACTATTTTATGTATTTTGGTTCTAATCTATTTGTGTGGTGTGTGTGTGTGTGTGTGTGTGTGTGTGTGTGTGTGTCTGTATATGTGTGTATATGTATTTGTATGTCTCTGTGTGTGTCTCAGTCTATATGTGTCTGTGTATAGTGTGTATGTGCGTCTGTGCATATCTCTCTGTGTGTGTGTCTGTCTGTGTGTGTGTCTGTGCATGTGCAGGTTCATGTGAAGAGTCCAGAGGAAAACGTCAGGTCCTTACCTAAGACTTTGTTTGAAACAGGGTGTCTGTTACTTACCGTCGTGGATATCAGGCCAGGTAACTGCCATTGTTTAAGTGAGACACACCCCATAAATGTTAGCCATTTGAATACTTGGTTCCCAGTCAGTGGCCATTTGAGGAGGATTAGGAAGTCTGGCTTTGCGGGGGAAGTATGTCAGTGAGGGAAGTCTTTGTCATTTTACGTTTTCTCTCTTTGCTTCTTATTTGTAGTTTGTCATGTGAGCTCAGTTGCTGCCCCAGCCAAGATGCCTGCTGCCTGTGCACATTCTTTCCTGCTATGATGGACTCTTTCCTCTCTGGAACTGTATGCCGCATAAGTATTCCTTCTGTAAGTTGCCTTGATCATGGTGTTTCATTGCAACAATAGAAAACCGATGGCAGAAATTGGTACCAGGGAGTGGGGTATTACTGTGACAGACCTGACCATGTGGCTTTTTTAGAATTGTGGAAGGTTTGGACACTTTGGACTAGGAAAGTGGTTGAGTACTCTAGGCAGAGCTTAATAGGACATCTTAATAGGAGCTAGGAAGACAGTAGTGCTGAAAGCCATGTGGACTGTGGAGGTCGAGTTCCAGAGGTTTCTGAGGGGATCAATATTAGCAACCGGTCTAGAGACTATTCTTGTGATGTTTGGACAAAACCTGTGCATGCTTTTTGCCCTCACCCTGAGAACTTGTTTGCACTTAAATCTTGAAGTAATGGACTAATTTCTATGTCGGAGGCGATCACAAGGCAGCCTGATGCTGACTCTGTCACATGGTTATTGGTAGACACTTGTATGCAGATCTACAATGAAAAAGAGCAATTTTCTGCTCTAGGATGCAACAACAAACACAAGCTGCTGCAAATGTGACTCAAGCGGAGCTGAGCTCAGCCCAAGTTGGTAATCAAACAAGGCAATGTTGTCCGCATGATTCTTGCATTAGCGTCATGAAGAACACATGAGTAAATGGGGCATCTTCATCTATAGTTATGGAGAGCTGCTGATGCTAGGTTTGTGTCAGGGAGACCGTGAGAGGCCATTGGGTGAAGCTGTTTAAGTGAATTCTGGGTTACATTAAAGATCATGAGATGTTGGCCTGCCTAAGGCCATAGGATATATGCAAAGAAGAGATGCACATGCCATGTGGAACCAGTCCAAGAAAAAGAAATATTTTACAGGTAACATAGATGGAAGGACAAAGCTATCTAAGCTCTTTGAAATAGACATGGAGCTTGAGTTTTCTGCTGGCTTTTAATCTTGCATTGGTTCAGTATTTCTTCACTAAGCCCCCTCCCAAACCTTCTCTTCTGGAATTGTAATGTATATTCCATTCCAATGTATGGAAGAAGTATATACTTTGCATTTTGATTTCAAAGGGGGTTATAATTAAGAAGTTGTCTTGAGTCTCAGAAGAGACTTTGGGATTTAGACATTTAAATAGTGTTGATACTGAAAGACAATGGTAACTTTTCAAAGTGAATTTTGCTTTATGATATTGCTACAAGACTATGGGAGAGCCAGGGAGTGCAATGTGGTGGTTTGAATGATAGGTCTCCCACAATTCTCAAGTATTTGAATACTTGATTCCAAGTTGCTGGCTGTTTGTGGAGGATTAGGATGTGTAGCCTTGCTAGAGGAAGTATGTCTTTGGAGGCAGGCTTCGAAGTTTCAAAAGATTCATGCCTTTTTGAGTTTTCTCTCTCTGTTCCATGTTCATGGTTCAAGATGATGTGAGCTCTCAGCTACTGGTCCAGCCAGTATGCCTGCTGCTTGTTTGCATGCTTTCCCACCATGATGTACTCTTATACCTTCAGAGTCATAAGCCAAATAAACCCTTCGTTCTATAGGTTGCTTTGGCCATGGTGTTTTATCTCAGGAATAGAGACCCTAAGACTTTAAGATTCTCTTGTCTCCACCACCCATTTCACCATAGGAACACTGGGAATACATACATGTGTTATCATGCCTGACTTTGCATGGGTTCTGGTGATATGAACTCAGGCCATCATGTTTTCCTGGCAAGCACTTTGTCCACTAACATATCTCCCCATACCCATGTACTTAGGACAGATTACGGTACCTAGCATGTGTTGAGAACTGAGAAATGTCTTCAATGTTTAGTTTACTTCATTACAATCTGGGCATCTTAATCAATTTAGTTGATACTGGAAAAGTCATAATTTGGTCAGCAATGGCTTTAGGAATCTTTAATTTCTGAAAGTACCAAACAGAGGCCAAGAGCTCTAATTTCCTTTAAGTACTTGACCTCAAATTAGCAATTTCCCTATCTATGGAAAGAATGACCAGTTGTATGGAGTAGAAGAGGGACAGGAGACTGGTGCAGAGATAGTTTTGAACAGGGCCCTCCTGCTCTGTTTAAAATACCCATGTTGTGGTTTAAGTCATTGGGACTGGATGGTATACAACCACACCTCCATTGCAGGTGCTCTGAACTCTTAATTACCCAATCATGTAGTAGGGATGCATTTATATCTTCAACTGGGAGAAAGTCCAAAAAGGAGGGGGATATACAACCAGAGTAAGTAGACCAGAAGAAGCCAAGTCTAGACGAGGAGAACTTTGCACAAGTTGTGTTTGGTCTCAGAGCCATCCAAGATGCAAAGAAGCTATATCCTGTATCATCAGCAAACCATCTGGAAGTTTCCTCATAAAGCAGCTTCCTGCCCCAATGTATTTCTTGCTTTATTAGTTAAAATCCCATTACCTTATGCAACATGTGTATGTCTCAGCTTTTGGCAGCATGCATGGAATGTAAAGCTAGGCCTGACCTAAATAAGCAAACCTCTTTCCAAACACATTTCTGTTTGGATTAGAATTCTTTAGAGGATTAAATAGGTCACTGATAGGCACATGTTTGGAGGAGGTTCCTGCTTTAACCCAAGCCTAGTTTAGACACATTTCTTCTTAAGATTTAATTTTCATACCCATGCCTACAGAAATGTCGCAACCCAAATTCCCTGTGCATCAGCATAAACAGAAAAGTGGCAGTGGGTAATACACACCTAGATTTGTGCATGATGGAAGAAAAATAATTCAGAAAATCCACTTAAATTCTACACGTAAAGCTAAAGGAATTTACTGCTTACCAATTAAATTTGACTTACATTTTTCTTTTTGGTTTTGCAGCTTCAAAATTAGAAACTTCCTATAGAATAAAATAAAATAATTAGTCCAAGAAAATAGGGAGTGGTTATTTTTGGTATATTATATCTTTTCATGTAAGTTAACTGTAGTTCATATTGACAATTTCCTCAAAGAAAAGACTACCTTTTCTCCTTTATTTTAGTAATGTCTCATTGAATCTTGATGTTAGGGGTTTTCCCTCCTTTTTTGTCTTTTTAACTTTTGGGGTGTGTGTGTGTGTGTGTGTGTGTGTGTGTGTGTGTGTGTGTGTGTGTATGTGTGTGTGGTGTAGTGTAGGCATGTGTAGTGTATGGTATTCACACATGTATATATGTTCAAGTAAAGAGGCCAGAAAAAGATATTAGCTGTCTTTCTCTGTCATTCTCTGCCTCATTTCCTTGAGACAGGATCTCTCACTGAACCTGACACTGACTGTTTTCTGTTACACTAGAGTTCAAAATCAACCCATGATCTTCCAGTCTCCCACCTTCCTCCAGTGCTGAGTTACAAGAATGTACAACATCCACATCTGTGTTTTTTAAAGGGTTCTAGGAGTGTGAATTCAAGTCCCAATACTTGTACATCTAGTACTCTAACTCACTGAGCCATCTTCCCAGCCCATGTCACTTTGAGGAACTTAAAACACCTCAGTTACTAAGGTTTGTTTTTATTATATAACCCATCACCATTTTAAGTAAAAATAGATCTTAAAAAAATGAAAATATGTAATTTAATTCTTAGCATTTCAGCCCACAAGGACCAAAGGGGAAAGAAATATGACAGAGTATGTTAATTACATTATATCATATCTTCTGTTGAGAAAGATTAAAAAAGTAGCCTGTCACAATACCCTAAGGGTTTTGAAATACATCTGTGACTCCTCTGACCTTTTTCCTCAGCAGCTGAATACGTGTAAAATCCCTCACATTGTAGGAGAAGAATGTCACCACATTTGTTTCCGTCCTTCAAAGAGCTTAATTTTCCCTCGGGCACCTTCAAGAGCTTCCGATTCTCTACTTTTTCAGCCTTTTCTTTCAAAATGATATACTGAACATGTACTGCATGGTAGGAAATGGACCTTGTTCTAGAAAGAATGCTTTGTTTGGTCAGGCAGCAATTTATGTGTGAAAGAAAATTGGGACCAATATTCCACGTGGCAGTGCAATGGCTGCAAAAGCTGGGAGGATGGGGGCCACCTTCAGAAGAGAAGCTGGTTCTGTTACTGAAATGGTTAATCATTAGTCTGTGAGCAACCAAATCCTACACAACCTGTGCCCTGCGAGGTGACTGGGCAGCATGTTCTCTAACTCTTACTGTGTTTGGATCCAGATATCACTGCGAAGGACACTTGGAATTTCCTGTTTTCCTGGTTGTTGAGCAGAGCCCTACTGAAAGCATGTATGCTGAAATAATGTCTCAGAATATACGAACAGCTTCTTCAACAAGATTGAAATGTGGATCAGCCCGAGGGTGACTAGTAGAAAAACGTAGTACACGTGAAGATGCGGGAAAAGGCCTGTCAGACGGCTCATCATCAGGTAAAGGAGGCTGCCACCAAGCACTGTGACCTGACTTCTGTCCCTGGGACCCACACGGTAGGACAGTGCTGACTCCTGAAAGTTGTCCTCTGGACTGCACATTTATGCCATGCACACATGCTCACATATTGAATGAATAGATAAATGATAAATAAATGTAATAACATTTTTTAAAAGATGCGGGACTCATGGGTCAAACCTGGCGGCGGGCGGGCGGGGGGGGGGGGGGGGTTCTTGGATATTAACAGGCCTTTGAGTTAATGACCAAACTGAAGGTTCCTTGGGTTATCTCTGTTTTCTCATGCATGTCCTACAGTTTGTTTCTACTCTTTTATGCAATAAATTAGGTTTTGATTCAGAAGCAAGTTATGTGCCTTTAACCCCAATGATCAGGCATGGCAGTTTAACCAGCTCTGTAATGGCCATGAAGAGAAAGCCCAGACATCCATCTGTGCAGCAGTGTTTTTCTGTCAGGTGTACTTGAACTTAATAAGAAGGAGCCACTGGTATGTTCCTTCCATCTATACACTTCTGCTGAGCAGGTTTTAACAGCCAGAATCATTATCTTGAGTCTTTTTCACATGCTCTGTGTCTTTATGGATTGCTACTACATTAAAGAATAAAGATTCCTCCTCTTGAAGCTGTTTAGACCAGTGCCAAGAGAAAGCTTAGGTAGATTCTCGAGATTGTCAATCTTGCACTCATTCAGACTTCCATGTCTAATAAGGAGAGAGAAATACAATAAAAAATGTAGATTTTTGCCATAAGGAAAAGAGGAAACAATAGATACCTTCTTGTTTTCAATCATTCAAACAACAGCCTGTATACAACAACACATCAATATTTTATTCTCTTTGCTCTCAAGCGTATTAATTCCAGATGAGTCACAAAATTCCCACACAACTGAGACTGGAGTGTTCAAATTAAGCAAGGAGGTGGGTACATTATTCAAGCCACCTCCTTTTTCACTTGGGTGAAACTTTTCTAATACCCACAGTCAGATTCTGGATGCTAGTTAAGGTGATTGAAGTCCCTGTGGCTGCTAGTTTTGATGAGAGACACAGTCACCCTTTGGCTTGAGGCATAGACGTCTATACCAAAACTGAAATCATTTCAAAGTGCTAAAGAGATTTTTGAGGACATATAACGTCCAAGTCTCTGAAGATTATCTATTTCATTCTCTTTTATGGAACTGAGGTCATCCAACATTTTTTCTCAAAGAGAGTTAATTTAACTTTCTGGGTCTTTGGTTAAAGAGTTTTCTTAGAATGAACCCTCTGGAAAACACGTGGCTCCTACTTCTGTTGACTCCCTACTAAGATGAAAATTTGAACACAGCTCTGTCTGGACAAACTGTTTCCCACAAGGGTGGGGTAAATCAGGCAGGCTACATACAGGTCTGAAGTGTGACCATTGAGGGAAAAGAGATGACTGAGAGGAAAATATCTACTTACTTGGAAGAATAGGGCTCTTTTCTGACTATCGCATGGTTATATATTTCTACTAAGCTGGTGAAATGATTTTCAGTACTTCTGTGCCAGACTCAAAGCAGATATGGAAAATATAAACTGCTTTTTCTTCTGACTTCTGCTTACACAGGCAGACTGTCATGTACCTTGGAGTTCAGACCATCAATTCTTTATTCCTAGAAGGGCAAGTCTAAGAGAAGCTCTAAACAAAGTTCATTTTGGAGCTGTGGCCTGCCTTTGTGTCCCCCAACCCCAAAGCCAAGTGTTTCCTGCTCTATTTATATGTGTATATGCATGTATGTATTATGTTCTGAACTCCAAAAGGAAGGTACCATTGCGGAAAGTCTGGAAAATAATTCTGTCTGGTCCTTTAATTGGACATTTCTCATAAATAACAGAAAAGACTGACTCCTGTTATCATTCATTTCATTATTTTCTAAATCAAGCAACAATCATTGGTTTTTACATTTAATACACCAGGGACAAATAATTTAATTTTTACTCTCACAAGTGGCTAAGAAAATAAAAAAAAAAGGTAAATGATTACAAATGGACCAGTAGACTATAGAATATGTTCAAGTTAGTTATTTGGAGGTGAATGGAAATAGGCCACAGGAGAACAGGGCTTTTAAATAACTATGAAACTAAGATTTGTAAAATTATGCACATAGTTAAAAAGGAGACAATGCCACTAAAGACATATATTTTCAATACCATCTTTCTGTTCTCATACAATTTTTAACAGATTACTATCTAATGGGGTAGAACTTAGTATATGCATTGCATTTTTGGTTTATAAATCTGACGTTCCAATTATAAAGCCAAACATTAACATGAAGTGAATATGTCAGGAGTTGCTGATGTCTGGATAGGGGAACTACTAACAGTGTTTCTGCAACAGAGAAAAATGATTGACAGACTGACGGCACAAATCCCTTGGTGGATTTTTAAGACTGCAAAGCTGATATGATCTGACCTTTGGTTTGCAAACGAACAAACTGATGTTCCAAGTAGTAAGGTGAAGACTCGTGCTTCACTATTTAATTTTGATTAAATGGCCACTGCTCTGCTTGCTGTAATATTGTTTCTAGAAATCATGAGATTTATTTATTCCTACACTGACATTTTATTAACAAACATCTGTTAAGCACCTACTATGTACCCAACACTGTGTGGTGAGGAAGAAAACATTTCATTTTCATTCATTGCAAAATACATGGCTGACACCCTAGAACAACTTGTGATCAACAAGGGAAAACCATCCTCATAGGTTTAATAAAATGTTATGTAGCATGTAAGAAATGCAGCCCTCCTAGCTCCAGCACAACCTACACATTTTTAGGAGCAGTCATATAGAAGTATGATTGGAGGACAAAAGAGGACATGATCTAGTAACAATAAGCTAGAGGAACTTAGTGCTTATCACCCTAGGGCCTTTGAAAGAGGAGGGAAGGAGTTCTGAGTGACCGTTCAAAGTTTCACAGCCTATACTAGTGAAGAGAGCAAGGAGAATTCCACCTTTTGTGGGCTGCATCACCAGAGACAAAGGTGTTCTAAGGGCTATGGCCAACTTCAGGACGGAAGTGGCAGAAGAAAAGAGACCTCTGTATTGTTTTCAGCATCTCTAAATTTCTTCCAACCTAAAAGACTCAATATACCAAGGACCTATATTTTGGCATAGTACTTCCAACACTCATTAAGGTTTTGTAGGCAAAGAAAGATTTCCAGGAGTCTCTCAATTATCTAGCACCCATGGCTATCGATCTCAGGAACTACTTCCTTCTTTGAAGATTAAGGGAGCAAACATACACAAAATGGATGAAACATATTGTAGATACAAATACACATATGTGGTACCAAGCATGTAATGGATACAAATAGATGAGTGGTTTCTCAAATATATTTTCATTAATACTTATATAGAATTCTGATAGTTATAAGAACTAAACACAACTCATCTATAGATACATATATAATTTTTTATTATAGTACATAATGTGAATCCTC